AGGTCTCAGTAGCGGTCTCCTCCCTTTAGGCCTCCCAATCAATACCGTGTAAACACCCCCCTCCCACTTCATGCGTGCCGCATGTCCTGCCCACCTCATCCCCTTCGATTAAATCACCCTAACAATATCAGGTGAGGAGTACCGGCCGTGAAGCTCATCATTATGAAATTTTCTCCATGATCTGTCTTCCTCCCTTTTAGGTCCAAATATCCTCCTCAGCACTCTGTTCTCGAAGACTCTCAATCTATGTTCCTCCCATAAAATGAGTGACCAAGTTTTGCGCTCAATACTGCACAACTAGATATTACGAAATATTGTGTAATTTATTTTTCTATTTAATAAAGATAGTTGGGGGCTATAAAAATCTTTCTTTTATATTGAGTACGTGGTCCAAAAAGGCATAAGGGCTTCGAAATTTCAAATCATGTCGGCAACATTTGTAGTAAAATGAATACGTGAAATTAATTTGCGCGACGCACTTCTACTATTCTCGCTGCACATCCAATGGGAAAGTCCAATGTGGGCTCTGGTGATGACGGTATTGAACGTTCGTATTTCATAGAAACAGGACTTGCGATAACCTGCTGTGAGATCGAGGACGACTATGAGATGAGTGTCTAGCACAGGCTGCAAAACTGCCCACTGCTGACATCAGAACTGCTTATAGTGTCATGACATTTCAGGTAGTGAAGTGATTAACTTCTGAACGGACGGACGGGAATTAGTTTCCAGCAGGGAACCGCCATTTTTCTCTTCATCACAACCACATCAAGAATAGTTCTCCAGACTTAGCTGACTTTTTCCTGAACTAAATGCTCCTTGATGACATAATTATAACAGCTGGCCAATTTTACTCCTTTTTTGTGATGAGCTTCACGGAATACGTATCACAACCAATGATAAGTTTTACTGGTATAGTAGTCACCAAATTGCATACAAGATCTCAAGGTCATATTAATATCATACAGTAGATTCTTTATATTTGTTTCAACTGTCACTTCCACACACACAGTTTACCACTAAGTTTTTATCTAACTATGTGTTTCGCCCGCATGTGACCATCTGCAGGTTTGATACGTCTACGTGGTTATTGCACTCTCATTAAATATCAAGTTTTACTTTTATGCTTGTTTTGTCCAAAATTGTTACAAATGCTTACTAAAATACAATAAATAATAATATAATGATTTCTTTAATATTATACTTATGAAACAATTAAACTTTTAACATTTTTAAAATTTTAACATATCTATTTTACTTCTGTGACATAGCTATGTAAAACATTATATGTTGATGTTTTATCTGAGGGGAGTGTCGTGTCGTGTACTGATATTCAATGTGAGTACACAACAGATAATTCCATTAGCCTTCTATGTCAAAAGGTTGTTTTAACAGATAAAATATTTTGAATAAACAGGAAAAAAATTGAAATTAAAGCTGACAGATTGTAATTCCTTTAGGTGAGTTTTGTAGTTTTCTAATACGATAACTGGATTTCAGTTCATTAGAGTCTCACGGCAATTTTATTAGTTATTACACCTTATGATTTTACTAAGGTGCTATAGCTAATTAAATTTTTGTAACAAAGCGCTTTTCGAATCTGCAGGGCGGACATTTAAAGCGGATCGTAAATTTCCTCAGATGGTCTATAGAAATTGTGGGATGTATTTCGAACATCAAAATCTAAAGCTACATAATGTTCTTAAAGCTTGTAGCTTCCTACGGCTCCACTGCAAGGTATCTGTCACTGGAAGTTCGATTATACACTGACATTTCAAAGCTGTTCTTCACACTACAACACGGGCGTTGATATAAGCAGGTCTACTGAGGGAATAACAAATGCCAGTGTTTTATTTTGGTCTTTGTTTTACTAACGTGATCTTACGTCACAGTTACACTAATGTTATCCGAGGTTATTTTTAAATTATAACGACAATACAGTAAGGACAGTAACAACAACACAACGGTAGGAACAAAACCGTATAAATGACAGTAATAATAATAAAAAAAATCAATAGAAATGGCAGTGAATTTTGGGATCATTGTTGTTAAAAAAGCGACATTCAGACAGACATTGATGGGCCCATAAAGAGTTCTTCGGTCGTACTTGTCTTTTCGGTCTAATTACGCTAACAGAACTGTACTAATTGAAGAATGCCAGAGTTCGTTATTGCATAATGTTATGTATTCCACAACATTAACTTTTATGAAAGTATTTTATTTTGATGTATTTTTGAAGATTATTTCGAAATATTTTCCGAATATGTTCTTCTCTCAATTGGTCTGTGAACCAAATAATGTTGAATAGTTGATGTAACCTCTCTAGATGTCACATCGGTAAACGCGTATCAATTCATTCTTGAAGACAAACTCAGTACTTTCTCGAACGCTACCCTCAGCCCTTACTGTGCAAGAGGACCTTTGTGTTTTTCTGTATTCTCAACAGAAACATTGACTGCTCTAGACCGCTTACTTCTGGCTTCTGTCATAGTGTACCTGCATTCGGAAGATGAAAAGGCCCGATTGTGGTAGTTTTCTGGCTCATTACACTATGAGATTCTACATGGGACCCAGAAATACTGCAAAGATATACTAGTGTACATAGCAACTGAAGTCCGTCTTTCTTAAGGTTCAACTAGCTTAAGTGTGTGGGTTTCTGGTCAAAGTGGCGGCTAACACGTGGGAGTTGGAGGTGGGCCTAGCATCTTCAACTCTACAAAACGCTAGTTACGTGACACGGGACGGTAAAATCCGAGGTCACCGTACTTTAAGGTCGGCAGACACGAGCAACATTTTCGCAACAAATCAGCACGTCAGTTACTTTATAGAAATTGAAAATGGCACCAACTTTCCTCAGCCATTGACTATATCGGAAACTTTTAAGACTATGAAATGAAACACTTCTGACTCTTAAACAATTTAGCCTTCTCGGGTAATCAGTCATTCAAGGCAGTCAGCTACCTTCCGGTTTTGATCACAGTGTTACTTATTGAGTTAAGTTTGGCCAGAAAATGTTTCGGGTAGATATGATGATTATGAACATGTAGGACATACACACATTATAGTGTCATGAGTTAGACAACTCATTATTAAAACAAACCTTTGTTACAACACAAGATCTGCTTCAGGACGAAGTTGAATGAACAGAACTGACAATCTGCAGAGAGTTTTTGTGTTGATGATATTTGCACCAATGTTTAACACCTTCGTCATTTGTCTTGAGGAGACGTTTTGCAGTCGTTTTGGATCTTGAATTGTGAGAAACAGTGACGTATTTTAAGGTAGTAGAGGATGTGATGAAAACTGCAAAACCAACAAAATGTAGACCTCTAATATTACGAAAGCCTCAACTTTAAGAGAAAAATGGTTTTACATGTCTTCAGCTACGCAACCAAAGGCTATAATTTCCTTATACTCGGACTCAATAAGTCATGGCTGTTACTGTTCACAGTGAGGAATGGTTTTAAGCACGTACGTAATCAGTAAATAATTTTCTTTGTGCTGTTGGGTTTTCTAGAGAATTCTTTAGCGTCATTTAAGCATGACGTTTTGCGCCAGTCTGTGTGTAGTGAAGCAACGATGACGCTCCTCGGCAGGATGCATATTTCCTTTGGAACGACCTTGCCTGAATGATTAGTCAGTATCCGAAGTTAAGAGTTGAACGGTGGAGCCAATATTCAGTGAGTGGCCGGCCGGCCACTCACCACGGAGACTCGCTTTCAGTCTCAAGGCCATTCACCTGGGGTTTGTGGTGGAAGAACTGGGACAAGTTCATTTCCCTTCAAAGAGGTAATTCAGTCTCAATTCACTTCTATTGTTATTATTATTACTATTATCCCATCTATTCACCACTTTATCGGGAGGGGTATGTACTTCCATGTATCCGAGACAGACCTTATCCATAAGGTACATAGGGCAGCAGCTATTTACGGGATACATATTGTTTTCAGCAAGTGCCACATGTATTATATAATTTTATTTTATGAAAGCGTCTTACGGATGATGTTTTGAAGTTCCCAAAATGGCGGTCTTCTGCAGTTCCCTGATGTCGTGTTCGCCTGGGATGTTGGCCAAATATTTTCTGAGTGACCTGGAGACAGTTCCTGTTGCTCCTATAATTATAATTATAATAATAATAATTAATTATAATTATTATCCCATCTATTCACCACTTTATGGGGTATGTACTTCCATGTACCAACTCTGTCCCCATCATCAGGGTTCTGATACCACTGGTATCCAGTCACATCAGAACCCTGATCTTTCTTGCTGCTATTTCAGACCTGAATCAAAATAGTCATGGCTTACCAGTTACACGTGGCGTGAAACTGGATACGTTATTTTCAGCCACCGAAATCTCGTAGGCATTTATATGAGAAATTTAATTGACATGACTGAATTTGACTTGTTGTTAACTGTTTAAAGGTAACGGCAGAGCTGAGAATAAACGTAAACACATAATTCGGCAAATGTTTTAGAGCATTATAGTTCGGTCTGACGAAAAATAAGAAAAGCGACATCGTATTTTCAGTTTGTGTGATATCGACCTCAAAACAATTCAAGACTGACCTGTTTTGGCAGCGTAAGTAAAGTGGATATAAAGAATTTTCAGGCGCGTAATTTCACGTATTCTATACAGCAGCGTGGAAGAAAATGAGAGACGACAGATTTTTTTGAACGGTCTTATTCGTACGATGGGCGAGAAAAAGGTACAAAATTGGATATCAACAGACAAAATATGAGACAGGCCGCGATGGACAACGGGATTTTACTTGAGGTGTTGTAAATTTTAAGGAAACGGATGTAATTGTCCGCTTGGTACTGACACTAGCATCATGGGTAATGTAATAATGAACGTGTCTAAAGAATTCGGAAGTTTACAAATTGTTACAGCAATATAAGACTTTAAGTTTTCACGTCAACTAAACCAATGCCCTCTTATTGAACGACAATCCTTGTGAGGATGGAGTAACTATTCTGCTGATGAAAACAGAGAGTCTTCGAATCGCTAAACATTAACTCCACTTTTACACGGCTGTTCGCCGGAGAGACTTCATTGTCACAAAAAACTTTGCCCAGTGAAAATGTTTTTCTTTCAGACACCATTTTAATAGGATGTGTTAAATTTCTAGCTTTATCTACCATATACGATTGTCAAGGAGTAAAACATTATCCGTAGAAGGAACATATTTGTTTATGTGCTATTATTCATGTTTCTGTTGGCAAAAGCCAGAAGACATCTTATGGATGCCCAGATAACCGAATGTACCTTTAGGAAGTTGCCGTTGCTATCGTGTATTGAACCCTTGTCACGTAGACGCGCTATTATGTTCCAGTCACGTGATAAGTTCACAATATGCCGCTTAATTTTACTCATCGGTGACCAAAAGTGTTATCCATTGTTAGGCCACGCCGAGCATGAGCCTATTCTAAATTTCGGGCAAAAGAAACGAAGGGAATATAAAGATTTGGAGCGCAGTGGTCTGTTTGATCTAAGCACTCGGTCGATTCTGAAGAAGCTATGTGATTGACCTTAAGAGCAGAATCACCGCAGTGATGACAGTCTGGGCAGTTGTGTCTCGTTGGCAAACAAATTTACATGACAGTCAGTTTCGCAAGATTATAGGGGAGCCTAGGGCAGAACGGGGAACTTAATCTTTGGAGGCATGTGGAAGGGACGATAATAAAGACAAACACATGGTGGAACCTTGTGTGGATTTATTGTCTATTTTAAATTTATAATGAGTTATTAGTTTAGTTGTAAGAGTTACAGGTTTTTAAATATTAATTTATTTACAAAAGTGTAACTTGCCCCCATTTTGCTCCGTGCCCGGGACAAGACGGGGTATTGTTGGTATATATTTGAAGAAATTGTAAGAAGACACATTTTATCTAATAATTATGACGTAGGTTATAAAAATGGTAAAGTATACAACGTAAAATGTCGAAACTTTACAGAGTTGAAATCTACTTAGGCCTAACACAGACAGCACACATGTGCGTCTCTTCATCATCGTGACTACCAACACCTGCACATGAGTTAAGGGCTCATTTCAAGCAAGACGAATACCGGATCCACCCTTCAATAGAATGCGAATAGACATCGCCACAGTACAGGCACTCTTCATCTTGATCCTCTACCCTACCCCATCCTCCCCCTCGTATACTCTTTCAGGTTAGGATTGTCCCACTAAAAATTACATCTTGAAAATAAATAAATATGTCGTGTTTAAGACTTTCAAGAAAACGCATTCTAATATGCATCATGTAACAAAGTGGATATGAATAATAAATAGGTTTTACCTTCCCTTGAAGTTAAGAAAAATTTCTAAAATGTAGGAGCAAAATCCAGCATGGGTGATTATTTCAGAAACTGTAACCACAAAATGGCGCTGACTGACATGACATGACCCTGTGCTGTATGCTTATGGTATTTCACCCGATAGATCGCAACGCATTCCAGACGAAATAAAGCTGATACCCCGTTCTGCTCCCGGCTCCCCTACATATTTACATCTTCGGAGCGAAATGTAAAGTGTACTTATCGACTTTGATGTTGTTTTACTGGGTGTAGGTATATATATACCATTTTTTTAAAAAAAAACATATTGTCTCCATGTTCGGTCTAAAGTTACGTTGGTATCTACCTGCGAGCCCACACGACGTCACAATCCAGAGAATAAGAATTTGAATGTATTCTGAGTTGTAGCGTCGCATAGTCTGGTAAAAGTTTACCAACGTTTCACAGGTCCCTGCTGCCTCCTTCTCCCGGATGATGGAGAGAACCGTGAGATCCCCAAATATAATATTATTTGTTCACTGTATTTTTACCCCGACTTCTTGTTTCCTCAGATGTGTCCGTCTCCTTTTACATCTTCACAATTTTTATCTTCTGGAACCCTTAAATGTCTACCTCGTTTCCTAGTTTGATGGCAAGAATTTTTCTATAAGTTAATTTTGAAAACGTGAGACTTAAAGAAGAGCATTTTCCATAAAGGAACATAAATTTAAATGTTCCAGTTTTTTAAATTGTTGCCTTTCTTACTGCACTTTACGTCAAAAACTCTGGCCCTGTTCCCTATTTCCTGAGATATTAGACAAAATATGACGAAAAATGCTTAAGAATCTATTCATATTACACATGAAAAGGCCCTTGGTTATTTGGGCCACTGTTTGCCTTCTGGATAAAGAAAATCTAAGAGATTATGTGGTATTGCGTAATATAATCTGATAAAAAGTGACAGGTGTTTCAGATTTACTTCCTGTCTCCATCATCAGGGTGATGATCAAGAAATTCCTCTACATTCAGTAAAGCCATCATCGATAAATTGGACCTGACCTGCTGGAATAGAATGCAAGGAAGGTAATCCATGACTCACAACCCTGACATTACTGAAAATTAAACGCTAAAAGCAAGTCCCAGAAGAAGAAGTAAGGGTTTATTGTTTCTTATATCGTGACAGTAGCTTACAAGAGAGTAGTTAACTGACAAAAATTGCGACATATTTCTTCAAGGTTGCGGAAATTCTGTTGCATATTCGTTTATAATTTACGGTTTTCGTTAAAATAATAAAGCACTTTGTAGAATAAACAATCTTTGTTTTATGCATTACCATTCTATAGAATATTAGCATATAAGGGAATAAGTATAATTTAGAAACCATGACGAAACAATTTTCTTTAAGAAACAGGATGTTCGTTGTGTACAGAAATGGGTTATTAGTCTCTATATTTAGCCACAATATGAGACAACAGCGTCGTAATCTCGACCTGTGTATTAACCTTTCATCTGCAAACAATGGTGCAGTAATAGATGCTGAAGTTTTTTCTAAGTGCCGACATTCTTCTATTAGGTCTGACGCTGCCTGTGTTATCTTATTAACAAGAAGGGTTCTTCAATGCACCGTTGTTCGAAACATTAAAAACCACAACTAACTCCTCAAATTTAATAGATATCGAACTCTCATACCGACTACATTAAAGATTAAAGTCAAGCTGTTCCACTATACCCCATATAGGCGTTTGGGGGGGGGGAGAGGAGGTACAGCTCCTACACATTCTTAACCTCAACACTAGATGGGGGGGGGGGAGTCTGCCCCCGTCGGAGATCAAACCCCGGTCGTCCAGTCCGTAGCCAGTCACTATACTGACTGAGCTATTACCAACTACATCTACGTTTTAGATGTAATTTCTATTATACCATTTGGGAATTTTAAATTAAATGTTGTACTCAGTTAGCATCTCTTCAATGTGTCCTACATGCCCCGTAATTCTCATCCTACTCGATTTGATCGTTATATTAATATTCAGTAAATATTACCATACATATTACGAAAGTGTTTGTTATACAGCCTTCAAACAGTTCCTTCCCGTTCAGACAAATATTTATATCAGTATTCCGTCCTAAGGAACACTTGCTTTAGTCTGTTCTTCTTTCAATAGTTTTTAAGAGATGCTGCACAACCATAATAACAATTTTTTTTCATTTAATTTTCATTAACTAGTTTTTACATCAATGTTCACGGCGTGTAATGTACAAGACATTCTATGTAATACGTGACAGAAATATAAAATACGTAATCAGTTTTAAGATTAAGTAATAAGGTATATTATAAATTATATTTTTAGCAAAATGGAAGTAACTGAAAGATGTAGTTCTCATGGCGATGAATATATTGATGGCTATTGTCTGGGATTTTGCTTCTTGTAGTCTAGTGGATGTTGACCGACGTTTCAGAGAAGCTAAGTGCCTCTATCGTTACCACCTACCAGACTACAAGGTGCAACGTTCCAGAAGACAGCAATCTTCATAACTGAAAGGAGTTCGGGTACGTCTTCTACATGTACATAATTTTGTTTCAGAAATATTTTGGACAATGGTCTTTTTAACACTTTAGAGCCGAAGCTTATCTTAATAACCTTACAGACAAAGCTGAAATTGTGGGTTTATGTGTTTATTCGCTTGTAGTTGGAGAAAGTGCTATAGCGATTTGCTCCAAACTTTGCATGCGTATTTATTGAGATCAGGAAGGGGTCATAGGATGGTTAAATTTTGGAAAAGAGCCCTGACTCACAGTTATGGTGATGGTGGGTTTTTTAGCTCGGAAATTAAGTGCTATAGGAGAACGGTGTCAAGATGAAAGTTGTTTCTTTCGAAGAGGAGATTAAGGGAAAAAAGCCACACCGAAAAGATATCTTTGATTTGATTCTCGGTAAAGACGGCCGTTACAAGATATTTTTTTAAAATATTGTCTCATAAACAGGCTTGATATGCTTTCTTTACATATTTTCTAACTCGTAATCACATTCAACATAAGATTCGACTATACACAACTTATTCAGTTAAGAAAGCGTCGTTAAATAATCTAAAATTTATCAGTTACTCGCCTCGCCAATGCCGCGTTAACTAAGACCTTTGACGGAAGAAGTACTTTTTAATCAAATTGGTGTATTACATTAAATTAAATTGCAAAAGTTGCTGCAGTTTATATACTTCAGTTACTCTTCTTTCGCATTAATTTTAAACATTAATTAACACACGCCTTCACTTTGTCTGTGCATATTTATTTGAAACAAGCTATGTGGTTTCGTGGTCCAGTACAAGCTCCCTTCTCGAAGGAATTTTATCCCGATTCTCTGGAAAGATGCAAGCCAGCAAATTTCTGAGGAATTAAGAACAATCTAAAACGTAATCATTCTTGGAACAAAAGGTTTTGTGCATTCCTAAGACATTTCTTAGAATAAACCAAAGATGCGTACCTGCAATAATTTCAGTTCCCACATCATTAATTAGTTTGTCCAGTGACTGAGTCCTCAAGTGGAATTTCACTTTTCAATAAATGGCTTTAAATATAAATAATTATTGCAGACTTAGCTTCTCTGCTAGCTGAAATTGAAATTATTTTCATGTGTTCTGTGCCAGTCTCAATAAATAGGTAATAGGGTACAGTAATGCATGATATAGGTGCTTATTAAAAATCTCTAAGAGAATTTGTATAAATGCTGAGAGAAACTATGGAAAAATCCAGCACAAATTTTATGAATTGCCGAAAACGAGACATCAGTACAACAGAACGAAAGTAATATATAATATATGTGTATATATGCATTATATTAGGCGTCCATGGCACTAATTATGAACTACATTAAGCGAAGATGGTCATAGTTCGCTCACACGACAGACAAATTTCGATTAATGTGTTTTGCAGGTTATTCCGTTCTATACTTCTGATCACAAAACCTGGATTCTTAAAAGATATTTGGCCTAATTTCAGTGAGTTATTTAAATGAAAACAGGCTAACTAAACAACAGTAACTAACTAACTAGATTGCTTACGGAACCCGAAGGTTCATCACCGAATTAACCAAAGCCCTCCACTGGACCCTGTCCTGGGCCAACAAAATCCAGTCTCCTTCAACTTCTATCCCCGATAGATCCCGCCTGAGATTATCCTCCCATCTACGTTTAGGTCTCCCTAGGGGAACTAAACAACACATTCAGTCGAAATTATGTTTACAAGTTCTATAATTATTTACTGTCTCAGAAATTTCCTAGTCAGTTGAAATTGATGAATTTGTAACATTGTTAAATAACCTGTCCCAAAAAGTTTGTGAGGTGGATTATAAAAATATTTTATAACAATGCTTAAGATAAGAATAATTTACTGTTTTAAATCTTGAAGCGTCATTCTTCACAATAACATGATCAACAAAATCATTCGTATTAGTTAAACTGAGGAGTGCCTACGTGCTATATAAAGTCTCCAGGTAAAGAGAAGTGAGTTACAAATCTCGGTTATCAACAACAATAATACGAACTTATTTCTGGTGTTTACAAAGCAAAATGTTTCTACCTAAAGACAAAACTTTAGTTTGAATCCTGACACTCTTTTTATCCTGGTGAGCCGTTGTCGCATGGTGAGAAGTCTAACACTGTTTCTCTGAATTCTTCTTCCACTAAATCAATAAACTTCTGTTCAATTCCTGCACGATGTCTATGCCACCTCATCCACAGGTTAAAATGGTTCGGACTCTCAACGAAATACTTTTCTAAAGAGGCAGACGGAGGATGTCGTTTACTCCACTTATGTCTAAAATGTGTACGTGGTGTTAACTCAACCCGGAATTTCTACAGTCATCAGGACCACGATGCAAATATAACTCTGTAGTCAGCCTCTGCGATGAGGCACAGAAATGAGAAATTAGCTTTGGAGACTAGAGTGGCTGGTAAATCGTAAAACAGTTATATTATTGATCCTTCGAAAAATAAAGTATCTATTTCTTTAAGATTCGTCCTACGCAAAATATAAATTTCCTTAAAAACGATTCTGTGTTAATAGTAATTGTGGGATGGGGCCACATAACGTCTTCCGAAGTTCTTTATTTTGGTAAAAATCGCTCATATATTTTGTGCTTCGTAGTAATTTTTGATGACGCAAATCTCTTCTGTTGTTGATTCTTTTTTTTATCCTGCTGGATGAGTAGCTATAGTGGAGGGTGACGCATCGTAAAAGAATGAGCAAGCTGACTTCTGCTTTCCCCGCCTTCACTTACCGCAAGCTAATACCCAAGCCCCCACCTGCCCTGCGGCTACCAACAGTTTAAGGTTGTGCATAATAATGTTATTGAAGGCATACGGCATATTTCTTTTGGGGAATTATCTTTCAAGTATGCACTTTTCTGTGGCATGAAGAATTCTTTAAAGGTACCAAAGAAAAATTAATCAGAACACAAAGTTTCGTTCAAGAATTAGCCCTATATTCCAAATTTCGCTTCCTACGTAAGCCAGTTCACGCCTTTTCAGTATGACGTAACAACTAAACAAGTACGCATCTAAACATATCCTTTACCTTAATGTTTACCGACAGTCAATAGGCTTCCTGGTTATCCTAACTGAAGTCCTTAGAGTTCTGAACCAGCACATGGGCCTCTCATTATTAACTGATATTTTTTTATTCTACCTTTTTAACATGTCATTGAAACAGCATCGTTAAATAATTGTTTATCTCATTATAACAACAGTTCCTCTTTGAAGTTCAGATTGTGGTTAATTATTTCTACAGTTTAATGTCACAAAATAATTTTAAACAACACTTGGTAACTTAATAGACTTTAAATTGGCTCATTAATTCAGACTGTCAATACAATAAACAAATCAAACCAAAACTGAAACTAATGTATATAAATGTTGTTAACATCCTTACATTCACGCTGTAGGCCTATCTAATGGATCCGCCATGACTCAATCTCAATAAATTTCTTTGTAAGACTGAATGCACCACATAAATGTGAGACTGGCAGGATAACATGCATTCTTAGCCTTATACTTCTGTATGGTATGTATGGAAATTATTGTGGTGGAAG